AGGTGTTTTGTTAAAGTGAAAGAAAACCTACTAACCCAGGCACCATTTTCTATTAACTGTGTCCTTTTCTCTCTCTTTGAAATGGGATGGGTAGTCTTCTGTGTGATATTATAAAATATGATATATGACATTTTATATGATGTATTATAAAACAAAATGTATGATATTTTAGAATCAGGGACTATAACACACTTGTTACATCCTTATTTAAGAATAAACTAGTGGGGAAAAAAGGCAAGAAGGCAGAGAATGAAAATCACCACTCTCATAATTGCTTTATTATATATTGTACCGTTTTAATGGAAAAATAAGCATGGTTTCAGAGTCGAAGAAATAGTAGTGGCACAAACACAGTAGTGAAGGAAATCATGGATTGTCTCCTATTTGTAGAAACTGATGGTTCAACTTGGTCCAAGACAAACCTCACTGTATAAAGAGAGAAATTCTATCTAATACACTTATGTGGAAGGCATTTTGATCATATCTGCACAAATCTGGGGTTATTTTGGAAAATCATCCCATGTTTTCGTGGATACTGATTTCTTTGTGGTTGAGCAGCTGCTCATGACCTTAAACAAAGCAGAAGTTGTGGAATGCCGGCCTGCTGTCTGCGCTGACTTGCCAGTTAGTGCACAAAGGAATAGTTTCATTCCGCTTGGGGTACAGGTATGTTTGGGTTTGGGAAATAACAGGGCTTTGTCCTTTAGTCTTGAACCAGAACAAATAAGCCACAAGAGGGCATATTTTTCTTCATTTTATCACCCTTGTACAAATAAGGATTACTCCAATTAGGTATCGTATGGAGCCATCTCCACCACTGGCCTCAGATAGACTCTAAATGTAAAAGAGTAATAAAATCGGAAGTCAAGCAGACTTGAAGGTGTTTCTTTGCAAGTGGTATATAGAGAAATTATTTTTCTTAAGCTCCTTCCTTGGGGATTGTTTATTGATATAAGTACCTCATTGCAAATAAAAACAAGGAATCATTTATCTAACTTCAAAATCCCTCCTTCTACAACATCCCACATCAAGTGTGGAAAACCTTTCCAGCTTCTGGTGAATTTCAAAGTCAAGGAGCTTTTTCTTTTCTGAGGTCTCAGGATTTGTGCCAAAGGGGCTGGGCTGTGTTTTTATTTTTATTTTGAAACACATTCCTGCTCAATTTAATTATTCACCACACCCCAACCCAGCTAAGTAAATATAACCCTAAGTTTCTGGTCTGGAAAGTCTTGAAAAATAGTTGATTTTCTCTTTTAAGACCCTATAGCATAGTGAGACATTCTAGACAGGACCTTGGGGCAGGAACCTGAAGGAGTAGGATGGTCACTCCATTTCTCTTGGCCCTGGTCTCATCAGAAGATTTCTCACTAGGCGGTCTCTAAGATTGCTGCTCACTGTGAATGTTTGTGATTACTTATTTTATAGAACAGTTCAGGGTGAGGACTTAAAGTGAGGTTCAGGCAGATTTGCATTCCAATTAACTAACCATGTTATCTACTGTCCTTATCTGGTGAAGAGAAGCAGTTGTGTATGTATAATTAGTATGCAAAAGATAAAAGTTAGGTATGCTTTTCTTAACTACTAACTAAATATATCTAATGATTTGATGATGTGAAAATCTAATGAACTGATAATGAGTGAATTTCTATGATCAAGGAAATTGTGTGTGTGTGTGTGTGTTGGGGTGTTTGATGCTTATTAAGGAGAAATACTCTACAGAAGATAAAGTAGATGAGTCACTTTCAGCTCATACCATCACTTGTTCTAATTAAACATGCATTATCATATGCCCCAGTTTCAGTCTTGTCTTTCTGTGTTGACATGTTAATATGTGAAAGAACATCCATAAATTAGTGTTTATTATAATATTTTATGTATGATCACGTTAGAACAAGTTTTATATACATGAGTACTAAATGACTTGGTTTTACACTCCATTTTCTATTAATTGTCTCTCGGCATAAATTTTCCAGTATCTTTTTCATCCCTTTTTTTCTTTTAAAAATCACTGGAGTTCCACTTGTTTTGGGGAGTACTTCTAGAGACAGTATATTTGATAAAAAAAAATCACAATTTAGCAGCTTCTGAGAACAAGTCCAAATTATGAGATCCTGTTAGGTTGACATTCTGAACCCAGTAATTATCTTCTGCATGTCACTGTACAGAGGGATTCTCCATATACAATTACTTAAACTGTTTTTTAAACACCTGAAAAATAAGTGTTTTCTTTACCCTATATTTTCCCTTCAGCCTGAAGCAGAGCAGACACACTAGCAACAATTAGATGGTTCTAAACGATGATATACATTTTTCCACTGTAACTAAGGACTGTTTGTTGAATCCTGAATAGTAATCCCTGGAATCAAGCTAAACTGCACTATGAATCTTATATTTTAGCAAAACAATGTAAGTGACTCCCCTATCCTAAGTGTTATTGCAAAGATTCATTCAGATGGTGTATAACTCCGTAGGACAGGGAGCCAGTGTCTTTTGATGACAGTAGTCTCAGAATCCTGGAGCTTTTAACGCCATCCTGTTTGGATACAGTACAGCTAACACACATTTTGGTGGAAAAGTTCAACAACTGAGTTCTCTGTTCAACTGTTCTCATCAGTGCATCCGTACCCACAGATTAGCTGAGCACCTAGCAGGTTCAGGATATTCTAGGAAGAACTTGAAAGCTTTGTAAGCCACACAGCTGAGACCATTCATCATTATTTGGGACTCTGCAGTTGATTCTGCCTGCTTCGTGATCAGAGTAATTAAAAGGAAAGAAAGCACAGAACCCAAGTCCCAGATGTTCTTTTCTCATGATACATTCAGGGGGTTATAGTGTATTCAACCTAAATTTTAAGTGAGAGTATTTCAAACTAAAACAGTTCAATGCTAATTCATGGGCATTGTATTAGGGTCTAGGGAAATAAACACACAAACAGCCAACATGTTGAATTGCATGCAGGCACATGCCTAACTAATTATGATATAACATGAAAAGGGTTTCTCATAATACTGAAATCAAAGTGCTTTGGGAAAACAGGAGGGAATAATTAATGCTGTAGGGGCTTTGTGGAAAGAGTTGAAATGGTAGCAATGAGGAAGTGTCCTTTAGTGTAAGGACATTGAACTGAATGATTTAGACAGGAGGGAAAGGGGGAAATCCAGAGTTAGTGGCAGTTCTAGTTAGATATAATATTTCAGCCAGGAAACCAACGAAAATATTCAAGAATTAATTAATAATTCTCAAGTAGAGAACTATTTACCACGAGTCCTCCAAGTGAAAAAACACAGCTATGCTGTGGGAGTTATAAAGAGGTATTGGAGTTTTGATAAATAGTTAATGATGCAAACAAGTAAAAAAACACAAAACTAGAGTTGAAATCGAGAAGCACACTAAGGCTCTAGTTAATTATGAAGGGAATGGCATGTTGACAAGGAAATTTCAGAAAGAAGTTGCTATGGGTTGAAAGTCTGTGAAGATTTCAATTTTCCTATATGCAAAGAGAAAAATTATGGGTTTGGCTGGTGACAGGCAAAGTCAAAGTTACAGAGACAGGCAGCATGGGACACAGGACAGAGCCTTGGTCAGAGTGAGGAAACCTAAGCCCCTCATTAGGCTGACTCTGCCACCAGCCACCTACAATGTGAAGTGATTCACTTAGATTCTGTGGTCCCCTGCTTGCTGCTGCTGGTAGGAGGCTGAATTAAGAGTTTCTTTCATGCCCTTCATTTCTTCCATCACATTGCTTTTGTCTCCCGACCTTCCCCAGCTAACACACAGGCCCCTTGTCATTTGCTAGCGTTGTACAGAAACCTTGCAGCGCCTATATTTAAACTCAGCACACAGGCAGGAACCACCGGTTGTTTGGTTTCTATGGGACTACTTCAAGGGAGCTCTATGTGGCAACTAAGGTCATGGTTAGAAGTGGAGTTCTATTCATGGTAGGATTTGTCATGTCGCTGTCTACAAGGCTCAGTTGTACAGGCCCTTTCCACGTCCCACTAGCCTTTGCTTTTTAAGAATTTCATCAAAGTAAGCTATCTATACACGATTTTCTTGGGATTTCACCTCTAAATTGGGGAGTTTTAGTTTCCACAAAACATATGCCCAGGGTTTGTGCTCATATTCCTCCAAATTATTCTTGTTGTGTGATCAAGGTTTGCAAAACTGTACAAAAGAACAGGGAAGGGTGGTGGTGGTGGAGGGGAGCAGCACACACCCCCACCCCCTCCACCTCAGGCCAGTTGTGAGGAAAAGGTGAAGAATCCATGTTGCAAAGCTCCCACGTGTTCCTTCAGGGGTGTCCGTCACCGAGGAGGACTAATTCGCTCAACCCTTCAGGGCCACTGAATGAAGGCGGTAGTTTTACAAAGAAACACCTGTACTCTTCCCAGGTGACTGGAATTTTTAGGGCGTCCTTTGTGGTCAACCATTGCCCCTGTGGCTTCTGCCTGAAGTCTTCAGGGTCCTTTCTGAAAGAGAAGGGGATACGGGGCTCTCTAAATCACCCAGACCCAGACTGAGATGACCCGGGCTGTTTCACTGACTGACAGAATCCTCCATCCTCCCCCCCAAACACTCCTAGATCCGGCCGGAACTACCTCCAAAGCCACCCTGGACTGCCTGGGGCAGACGGGGAAGGCCTGCGAGCGCTGGAGGGATTGCCAGCACATCGGAAGGGGCCCGGCGCTGGGGGAGGAGATTGGAGGGAGAGGTAATCCCTGGCGTTTTGAGCATCCCCTTTTTAGAAAGACGGAGTCTCTCCCAGGACAGCTGCTGCGGTCACACCACAAACTTAAAAGCCGCCCTCCTGCCTGGAGCGTGCCTTTCCTCACTACGCTGCCCGGCCCGAGCGCCAACTGGTGGGTCGCTGTCCGCGGGAGAGGCGGACGCTCGCCCGCTCGCCCGACCG